GGTTCGCTTCCACAGGAGGTGTCGGACGAGGGGCTCAACCTCTCCCGGTTCCACCAGCGCGGCGCTCACCCCTTCAGTGACTGAGCTGGTGTGGCGGGGCGCCAGGAGCACGTTATCACAGCGGGGCGGAGACCACTGTCCTCGGAAAGGCACCAGTAGGAGGCTGGCTGTTGGCTGGCGCCTGGGAACTTGGATTTCGGGAGTACCCCCCCCATAAGGAGGGTTCACTGTGCCTGAACTGTTGATGAGAATGATACACTGACCACCTGCTCCCTCGTGGAGGTCTGCGACTTCAGAAGGTGCCTGTGTGTCCTGGGCGCCAAGTCTCCTGAGTTCCCCCAGCAGACGACATGTCACACACACGGCCCCATCTTGCTGAGTGAACCAGGTGCAGGCTACACGCCTCCCCTGGGAGCGGGCTCTTGCGACCTGAGTCTGGTTTCCTCCGGGGTCAGCCTGCACCCCTTTCCCTCTGCGTCTGCAATCCTTCCCCGTAATCAGCCAGGGCTGTGAGTCCGACTAGCCTCGGAATCCCCCCGAGAGCCATCAACTTTAGGGATGGTGCTGGGACTCCTGACTCACTGACAGAGCAAGACAGAATTCACCGTCTCTGGTAATTTAACTTAGAATACCAATGCCTCGGGAACCCCTCCCCAGGTCCAGCCCGCAGCCACAGCCCTGGAGAGCACCACGGGTGGGGATTCAATTTTTTTTTTTTTTTAAAGTTTGTGGACGTCGGGGTGAGGGTGTCCTTTTTTTTTTTTTTTAATTTTATTTATTTATTTGACACAGAGAGATCACAAGTAGGCAGAGAGGCAGGCATAGATAGAGGGGGAAGCGGCTCCCTGCTGAGCAGAGAGCCCGATGCGGGGCTCGATCCCAGGACCCTGAGATCATGACCTGAGCCGAAGGCAGAGGCTTTAACCCACTAAGCCACCCAGGCACCCCGGGGATTCAATTTTTGAATGGGTCTGACATTCAAACTCTCCATCCCGACCTTGCCTCAACAACCCACCTAGATCGCCTCCCCCAGTAGGCAACCTGCACTGCCAATCTCTTCCGTCCCTTCCCTCAGTTACCCAGTGTGTACTTTTAAAAGCACGTGTTTCTCCCTGTGCACACAAATGGCAGCTGGGTAAACACATTTCCCTGTTCCCTGCCTTCTCGCTTCCACTGCGTGGCGATCCCTGGGGTCAAGTCCACCAGGAACTCCGCTGCGTGGCTCGGGCTCATCTAGCTCAGCAGAGGTCCTCATGCATGGACCAAGGTCCTTCTGGTTTGCTGCATCGTACTGGGTCAAAGTGATGCACATTTGTCATTCTTTCCAGAAATTTATTTTGTCTCAAAAGGCTTTTCAACGCTCAAAGGGTACAGAGGGTCCTAAGTGGAACATTCTAGCCCAGCCGCAACAAGGGCCGTCTCCTGACCCACGGGTCCACTCCAGAAGCGGCCCAGGCACATACCCGCGTGTCCATCTTGGACAAGAACCTTCTTCAGCCCAGTCTGCCGTCTGCAGTGCCTTCTTTCTGGAGAAGCCCCTTGCCAAAACATTGACTAAAACTGGAGGAGAAACTTCCAGTGTAATTGTTCATGTTAGCAACTTCCTCTTTTTTGGTTTGTAAATGGTCTTCATCAGGCTTGGTTTAGCTCATTTTTCAATTAACGGGGATTTTAAAAAACCTTTCTGCTGCCTGTGTAGTCTACGCCTCGGCCTTGCTGCCTTTCCCTGTTTGCTTTGATCCCTGTCTTCGATGGCAGCGGCTGTCGTCAGATGTCGCTAATCCCGGCGGTGGTCGGTTCCTGACTCAGCGTGGGGTGACAGGGCACGTGGGATGGGAAGCACCGTGTCGCGGAGCATCGTGTCCTGAGGGGATGCGACAGGCTCTAACTTGAGAGATGCAATACTGAGGCCACAGTCTTTCAGTCTTTTCTCTAGAGCTGGGCAGGTTCCAGAAAAGTATCCCCCAAAGATCTCCCGCTGGGAGACCGGGGTCGGGCTGCCCCACACGTTCCGGGAGCCGAGGGAAGGGAGGTGAGCAGACAGCCGCTAACCCCCCTGCCCTCCACTGTGTCCGGCACCCCCAGGCCAGCAGTGAACCCCCTGCTCTGTGAACCCAGCCGTGTCTGACACTTAAGACTTCTGTGGGGCACAAGGACAGCTTCTCAGCTGTGCCCCCGCAGGATGGGGCTTTGCTCTCTTGCTTCCCTGTCTTTCCATTTGCGTCCCAGCTTCCCGAACTGGGCTGTGCCGGCGCTCCCTTTCACTGTTCTTGTTCAAGTTTTGCGACTGCAGTGTCACTCGGGTTTGGGAGGCAGTAAAATTCTACGTGCGGATTCAACTCCTATCGCAACCCAGGCCAACCCTAATTATCCTCTGCTGTGGTCAAAGTTCAAGTTTACATTTGACAAAAGAGCTTAGAGATTTTAAGTAGCCCTAATTAAAAAAAAAGAAAAGAAAAGAGACATCCACTTAAATATGATCTTTATCCCTCTGTAGCTTCATTCATTTGTGGCCAATTTGGAAAGCTGCTAAAACCTTGAAAATAGATCACGTCAGAACAGCTGCAGGGCCTGTCCATGAAAGGGGATCACTCCGGGCCAGGGACCCCCAGATACATCTGAGCCGGCTCTGCTCCTGCTGGTCAAGACTTTTTTTTTAAAAACTGGGCTCCTGGCTTTGTCACTTACTCTGTGACAGATTATCACTGGATTTTCTTATCTGTGCACAGGATGGCAACACCTCTCCCTCCTCCGCCTCCGAGGTTGCTGGGCTAAATGAGTCACAGGTCATCAGCGGACCGCCTCTGGCCTCCACAGTCACCAGCCGTCACCCTCTATCTCAACCCATCTGGGCCCCTAAAATGTGTTTGGCCGCTGGCGCCACGTGCCGCCGTCTGCAGGGGCCCCGGAGAGACACTCCAGGAAGCAGGTTTCCCGCTGCTTGGCCACGGTGCCCTGGACCCCCGAGGTGCTCATGCCCCTGGCTTCCCCGAGCCTGGCTGCCGCAGTGCACAGCGCGCAGCCGCTGTCCCCAGAGCCACCATGCTCTCTAGCAAGGCGCCTCCGTCGGGAAGGATTTCCCTAGCAGCCTAGATGGCCGATTTCTAGCAAATTCGTCTGATACGAAGCGGCAGCAACTTCTCCGCTATCCAGCCCCCCCAACTAGCCCCGGGAGGGTGGCAGGCGCGACAGGCGCGGTCTCCCTTGGCGCAACAGCTGCTCCGCCTGTCGGTCCTCTACTGCTCGGCATCCGCTGTTTACCAGCCAACCCCTCAACACTCCAACCCATGCGTTAGCAGCGCTGGTGAACCGTCCCTGTGTGAACCACTGTGGCTCCTCCCGAAAGCAGACCACTTAGATTGTATCTGTGACGGCCAGGCACTGTCCGGTCAGATGGCTGTCACCACCTAGGCCTCCGTTTGCATACATGACAAAGAGTGAAGAGATCTGTGTCTGTTGTCCCAGTGAGGCCCTGGCCATCAGGAGGCGGTGCGGACATAGCTGGCCTCCCACCTTGGCTCTGTCGCGCAGCATCTGGTGGACAATGCAAGCACGTCTGTGGAGTAGAACGGCACTGAACGACTGTAAAGCACCTCGACCGGACAAGCGTTCGCCACCTTTACCGCAAAGAAAACCCTAGTGGTTCTAATCTTTCATTCGGGGACCACTTAGTAGATGAGCTAGTTCCTCAAACCAGGGTCCCTGGACCTGGCCACAGCACAACCACATGGGGACTAGACTCCACGCAGCCACACGCAGGAGAATCTCTACCAAGTAGGGCCACAGCGCCCCGGAGCTCTGGAGGGGAAACTGCAGGAGGGCGCAGAGACTGCCCATCCCTTTAGCTGGCGCTGAAGGCCATGCAGGCCCTAATCAGTCACGGTCTCCCGCGAAGCGGATGAAGGATGGTCAAGCGTGGTCTTGCCAGAGCCGTGGGGCGCAGGAGGGTCTGGACCTGCGTTCCACAGCCAGCCAAACAGGGCAACAAATGCAAAGGCCAGATAGATACGTCAATGCAGTGGGGAAAATCGGGGCCATCGGCTTCAGAAGGGAGTGACCCGTACAGGTGGAGAAGTGACAGCAGAACCCAGGGCACGGGCCAGAATCAGATGTCTGGCTGTGACGGGGTTTAGACGACAAACTAACAGGCACGTGTTTCTATGTTCGCTGTGTGTGTGCTCAGAGACACTTAATTCCCGGCTCTGTCTGGTCTGTAAGAAATGACACCTCGTAGCGATGAACACACCTAACTCCAGATCTGAGTTTCTAACCAGCAGGCTCCGTGAAGGGGAGCGGGAGCTCCAGGGGCCCAGCTGACTCCCAGGTATTTCAGAAAGCTAGGGCACTGACTAAACACCACTGCCAGCAACTGTGCCGGCGGCGGGTGGGGACACACAGGTTCACCACGCCACTCTCTCCTGGCGACGCTGAAACTGCCCTTGACGCTGAGCCGCGTCCCTGGCCCCTGGGACCCTGCCTGGCACCCAGCAAGGACTCCGTAAGTGATGCGGGGACATGCCCTGCGGCCCCGCCTGATGAGCATCCCCTCTGGGGCCCCACGATGGTGCCTGAGGCAGCCCCGCTAGGGCTGCAGACGCTTCTCACCCGGCCCATCAGGCCTGCATCTGCCGACCCTCCTGCCCACCCGGCCCGCGTCCACCTGACCCTCCCAGCAGCAGGGGCGTGAGCGCTGCCATCTGCGGAACAACGGGGAGCCCAGGAGAAGGGCTTCACGTCCGGTCTACTCCCTCGAGAGCAACCTTTACATTAATATTCCTCTTAGGAGCCGAGAACGCTGGGAAACTAACATTTCCATTTTTCCAAAAATAAGTTTGTTCTTTCCACCTCACAGAGAGTAAACACACACACACACACACACATACCCCATCATTAATAATTTATTTCACTGTTCCAAGGATCCCAACCCCATTTAAAAGCTAGAATCGCAAAGCACTCCCTTCAATAAAAAGACACAAAACCTCACACTATCACAAGACAGCTCTTACTCCGAGAAAAAAGAGTTTATTTTACCTTTTGTTACAAAGGCACAGAAGCCATCTGAGACCTCAGATGCTAACCCACCGCGTGTTAATGTCGCACCACTAATGTGCAACTTCACACAATTGTTAACGTTTACAGGATGTCTTCCAACGGCCCACAATGAGTTATAGATTCTCTCTATAAATAATAATTAAAAGAAACACCAGACCACAGACCAATAAAGGCATAACAAAAGGAACCTGAACATTCCCGCAAGGGCAGTTTTGTTTCTTAAGAGTAAGTAAGACTAACGGCAATAGTCTACCGCTGGCCACAGACAAAACGGGCCCAGATTCGCAAAACAAACAGTATAATGAGCAACTTCTAACAAAGCTAAAAAATATACGAAAGCAGTACTGAGATCGTTCGCGACTCTTCCACCATTCCATCCGTCTCCAGCCTCCACGTCCTGTACTTTACAGGTCAGAAGTTCTGGGTCTGGCCTGGGACACCGCAGAGGAACACTGGGCTGCCCACACGGTCCCGGGGCCTCCTCGCAGGGACCTCCTCATCGTGGCAGGACGGCCTCCCCGGGGGCAGGGCCTGAGGGATCCGAGGCGGGGTCCACACCGGCGTCCTCACTGGTGTCCGCGCTGGTGTCCTCGCTGGCATCCGCGCTGGTGGCCTGCTCCGCTCCGTGCTCGGCACTCACCTCGTCCTCCGGCAGCCCAGAGCTGTCGGTACTCTCCTGAGCCACGACAGTCCCTTCCTTCTTCTTTTCTGCCAACCCCTCCAGCCCCATCATCCTGAGATAATGAAGCCGCTCGTTCTTGGGCACAAAAGTCCGAATGGAGGCCTTTCCCCGCCATCCACATAACACAATGGGACACTGAAGGGTGTCTGGTTTCCTACAAAAAAGTGGTTGTGTGTGAGTATCAAGTGCCTTCCTAGCCACTGAAGGATAAAGAGGCGACCTTCCAAGAACAGTATGCCCAGAGCACTGGGGGCCAACTCACTCTGTGATCCTACGGAGTTCCCTCAAATGAAAACTGGCTCCTGCAGCAAATCCTAAATATTCCCAACATGCTCACGTTGGCCAGTTTTTCTTTCTAAAAGCTCCTAAAGGAATAACTCCCACATCCAGAGTTTATACACACTTTCAGCGTGAGAATTTCCAAACACCTCCATCTTCTCCAAGGTGAAGACCCAGCTGGGAGGCCTCAGCTGTGCAGAGCCATCCGAGAGCCAGAGACCGCCCACGCTGTCCGCACTCCGTGCTTCCGCGCCTTCCGACTGGGTGACCCCAACTCCTCTCGGTTACCCACCCACATGACAAGACAGGCCCTGGCACACCATGCTCGCCCGTTTCCAGCATGCAGTGTTACTGGGGCCCAAAGCACCCCTACCTCCTTGACTCTGCTCAATCCTGCCACACAGACATGCCCACCTGCTCACCAGGAGGCTTCAAGTCCCCGTCCCTTGGATAAGACGCCAGTTACTGTGTAACTCACGTGCCCCCTCCCGAGGACCATGCAAATCATCGTTTCCCTTCAGGAGTGACTCCGCTCTAGCATTTTGGCCCCTAGAGCCCCGTCCAATTAACTCTACGTCCCATTCTATGCTGCTCAATGCCAGGCAGCAGGGTCACGGGCAGAGGAAGGAACACAGGAGGGTACCCACCAGATTTAAAGAAAATATACCCAGCGAAAAAGAAGGGGTTGAACCAATGAGAGAAATAAACCACGACACAGAGGGAAACACCTCAGTACCTTTCCATATTCCCTGGGTAAAGCCTGGATGGTACACTGAGAAGACACGATGACAGGAAAAGACAAGAGTCCCCACCGCCCAACCCTTGCTGTCGCTCCATCTCAGGGCTGTGGCACCTGCCTGTACCAGTGAGCGCCAGCTCACAGAACTAGGGACAGTGGAAGAGCACACGGTATCCAGACCTTCCAAACCCACTTCTGGGTCCCGGTCGAAATGCTTCTGCGACACTGCCCCTCATTCCCGGCAACCCACAGCCCGTTTTCCTTTTCTTGGGTTTTCCACGTGTACAGAAGCAGGCTGAGGGCTCCCCCACTTAGACCTCCTCTGACCCAGCCACTGGCCCAGGAAAGCCCCATTCGCTGTTCCGCCCCACAGATGCCTGGCAGGCACAGTCCACACCAGCTCCCCCAGCTCAGATACTGGCCCGCCTCCCCCGCTCTTTGCATTCTCTCTCCTGCCTTGTCCCCCCTCCTTGGCTGCTCACATCTCGCAGACCCGGACCCCGATACTGGCACGAGAGCCTACAAACCCTGGTTCCCATCTACACCGCCCTCAGGAGCTCTGGCATCAAGCCCGCGGCTGACGCAACACTGACACACTCATGAACCCTGAAGATCCACACCTGGAATGACCTCTCCCCTCAATTCCCAACACTTCCGTAGAGCGGCCTGCCCGTCTCCTGCGGTCTAGTCCTGCATTTTCAGATTCAGTGTATCCGTTCTCCCCCACCTTTCCCCTTACTGGAGGGTATCTGCACCACTCAAACCTGAAGCCGACCCTGAGCTCTCCTGCACCTTTGCACTCACAGCCCCCCTGGTCTGCATGACCTGCAAACGCAGCCCCACAGGACCCCACGTGCACCTCTCTCCAACACTAGGCCCCTGGCACCCGCCTCCCATCTCCCATGCTGCCCCCTCTTGCTGTGCACCTTGTCTCCCACAAGCACACTCAGGATCACACCCGGGCTACTGTCTTCACTGCAGCTGGAGGCCGTGTAGACCATGCAGGGAGCTTGGGCCTGCCCCCCTCTGCCAGCTCTACCCAGGCTGCCTTTGAGCTCATTCCTTCCTCAGGCTGGTGCTTCTCTGCTTCCCTTTTGCCATTCAGAGTCTGGCCAAACACCACCTCCCACAGAACTGCCCATAGCTCCAACTAAACTCTCCCCCAAATCCCTCTCCAGCCCTGTGCCCCATTTTCCTTCCTCCCCTTGGAAGTGGTATTTTACTTTGTTACAAAGAGGTGGCTGTGACACGTGAGATGTCCTGGGTACAAATCCTGCCTCTGGCACTCCCTAGCTGAGGCATGCTGGGCATGCCGCCCAAGCTCTTCGCCCCGCTCTGGACAGCGCTGACCTTCAGCACCTACTCTCCACAGACTCCTGAGGGCTGCATGGGCACTTGTGAGCACCACGGACGGCGGTCAGGCAGGAGGGAACCCCCACACCCCACATTGGAACAACACTGCCCGATGCAAGCGTGATCGGGAAGCCACAGACCGGGGCTGAACCCATGGTAGAGACAGAAAGCCTTGACCGCTCTCAACTGTTCAACCTTTCCATTCATTCTGTTTAAGACAGAAATCAGAACCAGATTTCTCAGCCATAGAGAAGTACTGCACATTCTATTATCTCAGTGAAAATATGTTTGGTCTGAGCTGAATGTCCTAGAAGAAAAGTACTCTGGTGAAGATATATATTAATATTCGTCCTAAAATTTCTACGACGCTACGTTTAAGACAACGTTCGTCAAAGGCTCCCGTGACCAACCCCAGTTCCCCCACCGGCAGGGGCGCCCACACTTACGCAGGGTCTGGCTCGTACTTCAGGACAATGCTCCCCTTGGCTGGAAGAGAAACAGACGCGTGTTGGCAAAGCCTGCTGGTCATCGATGCTGCTCGTGTGTCCGGCATTGTGGAGAAAGCAGCAAATGACCTGCAGAGTCTCCATGGAGAAGAGCATTTTCTTCCTAAAAACACAGAACCACCAGCGAGCGGGGCGGTCCCGGCCACGTGGCGGACTGCGTGAGACCGCTCGGGGGTGTCGGTGGAGCGGCTCAGAAAGTCTCTCCCAGCAGTGGGACTTATAACTACTAGTTAATTCTCAAAATTGGAAATTAAACAAACAGTTGCTCCAACTTCCAGAAACAGCATGAAACACACATAAAAACTGACAAAAATTATACCACAATCATCTCAACATGGGATTAAGACAAAGCAGCAGCCAAGTACAAACTAATCTCTACTTTAAATGCAGCTCCTGCCTCAGCCACCAGGAGCCAGATCCCACCCAGCATGTTTTGTATCCTTCGGTTTCAGGATAAAACGTGCAACCCTGTAATTGCAGTAACCTGATTTGTGCAGTTTTTGGACCAGCTGAGTCAGAAACAGTGAATAAAGTTATAAAAATAAACAAGAATAAAAAAAAAAAAACAAGATTAGAATTCTTGGTGGAATTACTTTTGTTCTTAGGTGAAAATATCACTAGAATAACTTGAAGTGGAAGTTTATAAAATGCGTAAACAACAACGTGACCAAGGATCTACTTTGGGGGGCTGGCCAGGCCACGGCAGGAGCTGGCAACACTCGCATCCGGCTTCAACCCAGCTGATGAAATGCCAAAGACCTGCGTCAGTCAGCGTCCCGCACCTCGTGACGGGATGCAGACAAGCCCGAGCACCAGGACATGCCCTGCATCCCTGTGGGGACCTGCCCTGGCTGTCCCCTTGGCCAGAGGCACTCGGGGCTCTGGCTCATGGGACGGCCAGGGCCCAACAGCTGCAGACACCCACAGGCTGGTGGGCGGCACAGCCCTCCACCGTGGCCTGGGGAAGGAGGGCAACCCATGGGGTGCCTCTGTGCCTGGGTACACTCCGATGTGCCTTCTGTCTCCACGAGGCCCTCTGAAAGCTGACAAGTCTCAGCAGAAAGAAAGCCACGACGTATTAAAATCTAAGACTGAGAGACTCTAAGAAGCCTGCACACCCACGTCTTCGGTGTCTTTACGAGGACAGGTCATGCCTCTATGCAAGTCCAACGGCTTACCCAAGTCCTTGGCTTGGCTGTAGGTCTCACTGCTAAGTTTTCTAAAAAATGGATTTTCCTGGGTTAATAGAATTTTGATATCTTCTATGGATACAGTGATAATTCTTGAATTAATAAATGGATACAGCGTGTATATTCCCTGTGTGAATAAAGAGAGTCCACCATTATGAGTAAGAACCATCACCCGCTGTCCCCGAGGCCTTGGCACACACCTCGTCCAACCCCCACCTCCCCACGGGCACCAGCCCAGCTGCACGGCACCCACGCCCACGGATCCACCACCGGCTGCTGCTACCAAGTCCGCGTCCCAAATTACCTCCTGTGCCAACCGAAAAGCGCAATCAAACTCTTCACCGCTGTTATTCCGACACCACACTTTTATCCCCGTGTTTATAACCTGCACGTAAGACAGTAAGAAGACACACACATATAAGTAAGAGCTGAATAATCAATTAAAATAAGCCCTTCTACACCAAGGAGGCACAGCTGTGAGCCGGGAAGGGAAGAAGAAGAAAAAGAAAACGAAAAGCTTTAGAAGTCTGACCGGAGCAGGGGTTCCCACAGCCTCACTGATGCTCTCCGCTGAGGCCGGCCTAGAGCAGCCGAAGAGGACTAATGATCCGCACGGCAGGCGTCAGACCAGGAGAGCCGGGGTCCCCTGCCGCTCCGAACACAGAGCCGGCGCCCGGGTCTGCCTGCGCCCCCGCAGCCCCGCCGCGCGCACCTTCATCCGCTCGCTGTTGTTCACCAGCACGTTCCTCAGCTCCTTGGAGACCATGTAGAGCTGCCTCTTCTTCCCTTCCGTAGTCCTAGTCAACAAATTCATCTTTGGGAATGAAGGATCCAACGCATAAAACTTCCTACAAACGAGACAGAGCTGTTTACGAGTTTGGTTCACACGTGACAGGAGCCCCCCGCACGGGCTCTCCTCGGACAGAGCTCGGTGTCTCATCTGTGGCTCAGGGCGCTCGCGCTCTGCCGCACACACCCACTGTCCACACTTGATCAAGTTCCCCAGGAACAACTAGAGTGGGAACCTTCACGGACAAGTACGCCTCCGCTCTCTCACCTGTTACTCTGGTGACCTGACAACCCCTCTGCCCACTGAGACAGGTAACGAGCCACAGGGCAGCACGCGTGCCGCCGTGGTAACTGGGTACTGAAACTTAACTAAGCAGGAAGAAAGAAGTCGGAGCCTGTTAACTTAAGCGCCTTTCCCCTCTGCTCCACCGACCAGTTTCCAGCTGGGGTCCCCAACCTCCCACCGAGACCCACTCTCCAAGTCCCACACAGGACCTGGGCAGGTGGCTGTGGCCATGGGTCTAGAAGCTCCGCCGGGAACATTCGGGGGCCACTGTCGAGCCCCCACCACTACCCCAACCCAGCCCCGAGCACCTTACAGACTCCGACAGCTCCATACACTCCAAAGTGTCACCCAGCTCCACCAAGCTGTTATGAACGGAAAACAGGTGCTACACAACCAAATGAAAACATATGGCCAAATGCTACCAGGTACGCAAACTTGAACAATTTAGCACGACGAATTAATCCTTACTGGATGGGTGGAAATAACGGATCATCTTCAGGAATAAATACAAACGGATCTTCTTTAAATCCAAACAACTTCATTTTCTTAGATGGAGGAGGACTGAGGAGGGAATCAGGGCAAGAAACATGCATCGGTCCTCAGGCAACAGGCCAGCAGCACACTCCCCCTGCCCGCCAGCCCTCCTGCTCAGCCCCACGCGGCCCAGGCTCTCCACACGCATCCGACCCGCTGCATACAGCGGCACCCACCTGCTGCAGGACGGCCCCCCGTTCCTGCAAGCTAAGGGGCTGGAAGACACAAGGGAGCACAGAACCCCTTCTCTTACCCGCACACTCCGTCCTTCTTACTTCCACTGTTCTCTACGTTCTCAGATCTTTCTGTGATGTCTGTGTCATCCATCCCACTGGCAGGTTTACTCTCTGGCTCGGCGGGGTCCACAGCTGCTCCTTCCGCAGGGTGTGCAGGCCTGGACCGCACAGGCTCTCTGGGCTCCACCAGCGGCTCACCCTGTATCTGCAACAGGGGACAAGTGCGTCTACACTCCAAGCACAACCCACTTCACATGCTGCAAAAAAATGAACACTCACTACACAAGACCCATCCTAGTTCTCTACGGCATTGCACACATAGACGGCTACAGAAAGTTCTGGAAATATCTTAAGCCTATTTGCTGTTATGTGCGGAAGTCGTCGGCACAGTTTCTACCTTCCTCCCATAAAGAGCACATGAGGCCATTTCCCAGTACAGGCCGAGGACACAGCCAGTTCAACTCCACTCAGAGCTGAGCGCGCACCTGCCCTGTGTCAGGCACGATCCCGGCAACAGCAGGCGGGGCCGGCACATGGGCGTAAGTAACTGCAGCCTGCGATGGCCCATGCCGCCGCCCGGGTACAGGCCCCCAGGAACGGGAAGCAGACACGGCGTGCCCCAGGGAACACTGGGAACCAACTTTGGAACCGGGGCCACAGGATCGCTCCGGCTGGCAGAGAGAGCAAAACGGCTGACTTACGGAAACTGCTTCGGATGCACTTTATACAAGATATTATACAAAAACTTATTCAAAATGACATGTCCTAACAAGTCACAGGGTTGGTGCAATTAGGACACTTGGGCAAGAACAGTAAAACACGCTCCCCAAGGTCACAAAGCCCAAAGGCAGACGAGCTGCTGGGACCCCATGCTATGCAACACTGCCTCCCAGAAAATACCTTTTATTTAAAGGAAAACACAAAACAGTCACCCAAACACCCTGCCCGCCTCTCAGATCCTAGAAATGCTACTCCCGGTTCCTCCCAGTGCAGCTCCAGTGCAAACCCCCCCACCCCGGTGCCCTCTGGGCCAGCTCTGCGCCTGCAGGTCCCCTCACTTCTACGTCGAGGCACACGCCTCGGTCAGCCGCGCAGCCCAGGAGCGCGGAGCCGTGCCCGCGTGCAGGGCAGGCGACCCACACCCAGTCCCTCCGTGGGAGGAACGAGGAGCCGGAGCAGCAACAGGAAAGGCGAGGCTGATCATCACGGAAGGAGCACGTGACAGCAAGCCCTTCTCCGTAGCCACACGCACACCGCAGCAGGGAGCGGGCAGCCTCTGGGAACAGTCGGACGCTCGTCCTTGCAGGCAGTCCCGCAACAGACAGGTCCGCGCAACCTACAGTGCACACACACAATCGGCTTGACCCCTGTGCCGCGTGGTGCTGGAGCCACACCCAGGGCGAGCTTTGTCACCACGGCCACGGGACCAGCGCAAGGAAGAGTGATCTCGGCTGTGCCCTCACGTGGCTTCCAACACTCCGTGTGAGACCCAGAAGATGACTTATTAGCAACGTGCACGATGACCACAGAGTAAACTTCTACGTATATTGGGACAAACCAGGTAATGAAATTAATTTCGCTTGTTTCCTTGTGCTTTTTTTCATTTTTACCTTTTAAAGATTTATTTATCTGAGATAGAGGTAACACGTGAGCACGGAGCGGTAGGGAGAGGCAGAAGCAGCAGATCCCTGCTGAGCAGGGAGCTCGACGTGGGGCTCAATCCCAGGACCCTGGGATCATGACCTGAGCCAAAGGCAGAGGCTTAACCACCTGAGCCACCCAGGCGCCCCCCGTGTGCGCTTTAAAAAAGTGACTGCAAGCCCGCGGAAGTGACACATGGGGCTGACACGTGTCAGCGACAGTGCTGCTGGGAGCTCCCGACCCTGGAGTCCGGGGCCAAGGAGCCGCCAGACCACCAGGCACAGCTGAGCCCTCTCCGGCCTCCCACAACCAGCACGGTGCCCGCGCGGACGTGCTGGGTCCACTCCTGGGCCACTGTGAGGCCAACACGGACACGTTCGTGTGGGTTGGCCAGATCCCAGGAACAGCCTCCTTTCTGCCTCTCCAAAGTCTAAGCATTCTTTGTGCTCCCTTGTAAGCATTCGTCTGAAAGAAATACTGACCTTCAGACTGTGATCCCAGCCATGTTCCGACATTATGGAAAGGCTGAGGTAGGAACTAGCGAAAGAAATGTCATGCTGATACCGAGGAGGCCAGCAGACATCACATGGGAAAGCTCAAAGGCTGCTCTCCTACCCACCCTCCCTGCTCCAGGGCCTCCTACAACAACCCATGAGGACGGCTTGGGTCTTCTCTGCCTCCTTTTAGGCCAGGCCTGGACAAAGTCCCTGTCACTGTCCCTCACGGCCAAGGGGAAGACAGGATGGCCTGAGGCCGGCGAGTTCTGTCCATCTGCAATGGGCTCCAGTGAGCCCCAGGGCACGGAGCACAGAAGTCAGCATGGGGCTCGACTCTGGGCCACAGGGCCGTCATTATGTCTTTTCAATTTTTATTAAAGAACTGGACTTGAGATGCAGAAGGAACGTGATCTCCCAAGTCTGCCTTTTTCATGGATCTATCCCTTTAAGACACTGCTGCTTTTTGAAAAACTCAAAATTTAAATGAATCCCTGCCCCCGCGACACACGTTCACGCTCAGCTGCTCTCCACCCTTCAAAAACGGTTCCGCCAACTTCTGCCAGTGTCTGCCTCAAACGCACAGAAAGCTTGTGATATGCCGCGTTATTTCAGAAGATGCTCACCTTTGGAGGACGTTTATTCCACGGCATTGACGACTTCTTCACTAACACTGCCACAAAGAACCCTCCGGTATTCTGATGATGTGGTAATATCCTAAGACTGAGGAAAAAAAAAAACAAAAAAAACCCCACAATGCACATGTTTTAACTGATTCAAAATACATCCTTTTAGTATTAAGACAAAAACTGGCAAGAAGACCTATGACAGAGACATCCTGTCTTCTGGTCAGCACTCAGGGAGCCCTCACGGGACGGCCGGCGCACGCTGTGCACACAGTTAAGGGAGCAGGCGAAGTTCAAGCCTTTAGATCCTCCCCACCTGCCGTATTTATGAACGCTCAGTGCCAGCAGTGAACAGGAAATGTGAACTTTTCTTTCCGGCAAGTTCGCACACCTGAGGTCGGCCACACCCACGGCCCAGGCCTTGCAGGAATGCTGGAGGCCCCTCCCCATGCCTCCCCAAACCTCTGCGAGCCCCACAGACTCACCAACGCTCGAGGTGCATCGCCTGTAACTTCTCCGGGTCCTTTGGTGGGAACATGGTGGGCCGGATCTGGGTGTGTCTGCTGTGAGGCACCTGTTCCCACTCCGAAAACCACTGTCCGTCTTTCGTCATGACCTGGAAGAGGAGAGGGCAGAACTCCACATCACCACACTCCCGAAGAAGAAAATCACAGGTAAAGGCTCTCAGACGTGGTAAACGCCAGCTCTCACTGCTCTCCAAAGCTGGGACTGTGTGGGGAGCGAAAAGTGAGATGATCCCATATTCTATCAAACAGAACAGTCGTTTTGTAAAAGAGCATTTTCCACGTAGGATTTTTTTTTTAAAACAAGTCTCAGGTTGTTGCTGGTTTAAAACTGAAAAGTAAATAGTTTCATATTGGAAATGAAGCTTGAATCCCAGCCAGTAATAAAAAAACAGCACAGCTATACTTATAAGGATGAAAATACACAAAGCTGATTTCTAATTGCAAAATAAAGGCAGGGAAGCTTTTCCAAACCAGAGAAAAGTATCTGTGCAATCGTACCATTTGTCGTTCAATAGAATTTTGAAATTAATTCTAAGCCAAACTGACGGCACAGCCAGCAGTAGTATTTACTGACGTTACCCCAGAGTGGGTGCTTTAAAATGTGCACGACTTGGACAAGCCTAGCCAGCTGTACCTGCTTTTAGGAGCCAGAGTCCTCCCAGAAAGATTACCTTCCAATGTGCAATTCCAGGCATCCATTTCAGTCCCGGCAACTCAGATGACACATCAGCAAGCTCCAAAGCACCTACGGACCAAAAAAAAGTCCACATTTTGCCCAATGCAAAATACCAGATGCAGAAGATCATATACCATGTAGCTTGATTTCTACAAAATGCCCAGGGAGAGCAATTCCATACGACAGCAAGCAGGCACTGGTTCCTGGGGCAGGGACGGCACAGGCCAGGAGCACACACAGGTGCTTCGTGGGGGTCAGAAACGGTCCACGCCGGGGCCCGGGGCGGGGGGGACGGCTGTGCACAGACACTCCATAAAGGTCACTAGTCGTACCCTTAAAACAAGTGACACTGTGGCACGTGAGTTACTACCAGCGAAGCCACAGAGCAGCTATGGAGTCCCAAGGCATGCGGCATGCCCGACATGAGCCCCGGGGCAGTGGCACACGCCCCCCCCCCCACCCACCGGCGAACACACCACAAGGCCAGGAGGATCCGAGCGTTCCACCCACTCCTGGCTTCTAGACACACACACAGTTAGAGGCCGTGGGTCTTCATGCTTTCCCATCTAGTAAACAGCCAAATAGTAACATTTATAGTGAACTGTGAAAATTTGTAAACCTTCTGTTCCAGGTCCAAGTTAAGTTTTCAAAACTTGTCCAGCAGGGCAATAGTCCAGCTTTAAAAACACGCGTCCACAGTAACAACATCATGAGAGGCTGCAAGATGGGGCCCCAGTGGGACCCTCCACACACACCTCCAGCCGCAGATCAGAGACTGGACAGCCTCACGGAAGAGGAAAATCGAACAAAGCCCCACGGAAGCTACCAGACACTCGGACGAGTATAAACACAACGCAAGAGAGCCCTCAAGGCAGAAGCGTCCTCCTAAGAAATCTCTGACAAAAGCATCGTGCGGACTTGGCACTACTCTACCTGAACTGTCTTCCTTCTAAAAGCAAACACTAATAGCGCAGGTTTGCAGAAGCTGGCTTTGTCCCGCACCCCTACCCAGGCAGGGCTCAGCAGTGACGGACTCCCCGCCCGCGTGGGGGTCAGGAGATGGAACGCTGGCCCAGCGTGTGCAGACCGAATGCTCGTCAGCCACCCTGCCTGGAGCCAGGTCTGAGCTCCTTCAGGCAGGGACCTCACTGCTCCCAGATCCTCAGTCACCGTCAAGTGCAAGGTTCGGCAAAGGACAACTCTGCCATGAAGCCCTGCTGACACGTGAAGCCTCTGAGAGACAAAGATGGAGACCACACTGTGGCCTGAAGACCGTCACAGCAAATCCAGAGTGAAACCCCACCAGCCCAGTAAGAAAATGATGCAGCACAGGACACCTGCGGTTTCAGTCACCACTCAATGCCATCCACCTTCTCCTCACATGCCTCTGAAATGAAGTCCCACCACAAACACAGAGGACTATGACCCTGTTTAGAAATCACACCTTTACACAGGCCAACTTAAGCATAGCCAAACAAACACAATGTACTCAATTTCAATCTCAAGGACTCCGGGAGTGAGAACAACTAGAGAGCAAACTGCACAGCACCGGTCAGTCAGCACTGCAAACAAGGTAACTGGAAGCCGGGACAGCTGGGGATACTGGTCTCGGTGTTTATGTTCCAGCTTCCTTCATACACACGTGTGTAGCGAATGTGGAAACATTCTACTCTGGAATCCTAGTTTGAAATCCCTCATTATTGGCTTTAAGGAGAGTGTGATGGGAAAAGTTAACATGTCAGTGAAAATTTATGTAAGAAGAAATCATTTACATCAAACCATTATGGAAACTGTCATTTGAAAACATTTCATACCATCTGTCCAGTTTCTCGTACGAAACCATGCGCTAGGACGTCCCACCCGTTAGGACAGCTACTCTCAAGAAAGCAGAAGGTAACAAGGGCCCCGCCGGCAAGGACGGGAAGAAGTGGGAACCCCTGGGTTCTGGGAACGTAAAATGGGGGAACCTCAAAAATGAAACAGAATTATCGTATCACCGACAATTCCACGAGATATACATCCCAAAACCTGAAAGCAGGGTCCTGAAGAGCTACCTGTGCAGCCACAGTCATTGCAGCACTGGTCACAAGAACTAAAACAGGGAACACCTCAAGTGTCCATGGAGAGAAGAGTGGGTAGACAGAATGCGGCGCATGCACACAGCTGGCGTTTTCAGCCCTTAGGGCTGGAGGAAGGAGACCCTGATCCCCGCTACAACACGGAGGAAACATCAGGACAGGATGCTCAGTGGAATAAGCCAGTCAACAAAAAGACACCTACACTCTGATTCCACCTGTGGGGTCCTAAGAGTGATCAAACTCCAGAGACAGCAAAGAGGACGATGCGGGGGGGGGGGGCACCTGGGTGGCTCAGGGGGTTAAGCCTCTGCCTTCAGCTCAGGTCATGATCTCAGGGTCCTGGAATCGAGTCCCACATCGGGCTCTCTGCTCAGCCTGCCTCTCTGCCTGCTTGTGATCTCTGTGTGTCAAATAAACAAAATCTTAAAAAATAAATAAATAAAATAAATTAATTAAAAAGAAAAAGAGGACAATGGGGTGGGAAAACAGGAAGTTGTGATGGGTCCATAATTTCAGCTTGGCAAGTAAAGCGCTCTAGAGATTGGCTACACGACAATGTGAGCGTTCTCAACACTCCCAAAACGCACATTTGAGAATAGTTAAAACAACGGTAAACTTCAAGTTACAAGTGTTTTATAACTAAGATTTTTTTTCAAAAAACCACTGTGATAGGACTGACCTAATCTTTCAAACGTAAGAGGTACCAAGGAGGCAATCCTCGTAGTTCAGCGACGACGACAAACCCACTGCATAAGCACGCCGTACGCAAGGGCGGCTCACTTCAGGGCTTACCGGTAATCACACTAGCAAGTGCCCAGAAAAGGTCTACGTGCATATATACTGCAGCAGTAAACGACGTGTTTGCGAATCTCATACTTGATGTGTCCCACACGCTTACCTTCACTTTTTTCCAGCAAAGAGGCTATGACGGCTTCATCCTCAATGGGGTTGAGGGAACACGTGGAATACACCATCCTACCGCCTTCCACCAGCTGCTCAGCACCCCGCGTCGCGATCCGCAGCTGTAAGCTAAGGGTCAGACTCTCGGTCACCCCGAGACCAAACACACCCACGCAGCACACACACCACCCGTTCGGCCACGCTTACTGCAAGTTCTTACGACATGCTTACAATAAAATACAAAATCAACAACTCCCACAAAAACAACTCCTTAAGGTCTTCAGTGATGTTACAATAAAGCCACATGAGGTGTCTCCTATCGACCAAAACAGTGTCGACGCAAACACATTCACTGCTCTACCAGGCCTTCCTCACAAGCCGCAAGCAGAACACAAACGGGTTAGTGACTGAAGTCAACGTATTATGTGAGTCTCACCATGACAAAGCCCCCACACCTGTACACATATTTGACTTTTCATTCTATAAACAACTTAGGTCCCTTCGTACATTCTAATCCTAGTATCTATTTCACAAACAAACAGTTAAAAAGTATTTAATGGAAAAACAAAATCTGCTGCTGCAGTTGTTTATGGTGAACATTCATGAGCACAGTATAGACCACCCGCAAGTCTGTAATTAAGAATGCCTAACACTGATGTCAAATGAAAAAATCCACAGCTGTGTAGACCACACACTCGAGACTGGTGTGCTACCGTCCCGATGCGCAGAAACCCACCCACAGTGCCCCAGACATTACAGAAGTTATCTGATTTATGAGATCTTCTTTTCCTTCTACTTCTAAGAATTTTCCAAATTGTCTTTAAACACAGTATTGGAGATCAAAATGTCAAGCAACATAAGTCAACGCAAAGGAACAGAAAACAAGAGAAGAAAGATGAGTAAGATAGTAAAAGGTTAAGTGGTCATTTCACGGAAAACAGACATCCTGAAATGTTATAGGAAACTGTCATAAAAAGACATTTTTAATTAACGTGTACCTGAAATGTATACAGTGTTCAGTTTACCACTCCGAAGAGGTTCTAAAAACAACTCCCTCTGATACATATGCAAACTCTCACCACGGTGACCGTTAACAACCCCGGCTCCAATGCTGTCCCCAAATGCAGCGCCCTCCCCTGCTCCACATGGGACAGCCTGCCAGATCCCGCCCGACTCACCCATGCAGCTGCAAGCTATTCAAGGTTGTCCACTTCTTCCAGACATCGATGTTCTTTCTCATAGTGCCATCCCCACTAGAAAGTAAGGTATTTCAGAACTTAACTCTGTCCAGGTAGACCGATCAGAGTTTAACAATTATGTCATATACAAGCTAATTACAAAATGGGTATTTTTATTACTATAAACGCTAATTAGGACACCATCTAAATTCTCACAAACTACCATCAACTTTCTATTTCTGCTCTGGGGACACTAATGACATTAAACTTTTAAATTGTGCTTTAATTTTCAATTAGATAAGGAAATAACAGAACTCAACAGATAATCTCATTCAAGAATTACAGAGGTATCAATTTGCTTCCATTTGAAAGAAATACCAGCAAAACTAATTTTCAGACCTAGGACACAGAACCGTGAAGACATTTGGATCCTGTTACTTAACAACTTGGTTAATCAACGGTGGCATTTAATCAGAGTCACGTGAATAATGATAAACTTACACTCATAAGGGATTTTCCACAGCAAATTCAATTAAGCCAATTTAACTTCTTTATCAAGATTTTTCTATGCATCAGTTAAACACTTGATTTTCTACTTTCACTTGATGGAAATTATTTCCATGTAAATTTTATAATACGGACTTGACCGATTCATCTTTCTGTCCACGTCTGACTTTACCCACCCATTTTTTTCTGGGGTAATTCCTGTATCTGCTGGCTTTCTGTAGCGTTTAATCTCCCTGGGTGGTCTAGTTAACTGTCTTGAGGGGAAGGGGCTGCAGGAGGAAAACGCCCTATGAGATACAACGGCTTTCAGTGACCTCCCATGCGGGTACAGTGGTGGCTGAGAGTTCTACCATAATGGTCAGCATGTCCTCAGCTTACAGCTCCGTGCTCAGAAGTTTCCTGCACTCTCCAAGATGACACGAGAAGTTACAGGTTTCTGGTCAAAGGAGCACAGGAATGGGAAAACATCTGATCTAAAGGAGAACCAGACAACAGTGGCTCATGACCCACTTTAAGTTTTATTTCACAGGGCGTTCCTGCAGGAATTTTAAAGCGCCATCCCATTCATACTAACGACTTACAGCTCTCTCACTGAGTTTAAATGCGATGGAGTGTGGTATTGGACGTCTCACGTTAAGCACTGCATTCTGTGCTGAGCTTTATGGCGATTTCTACACTCCGAGCTCAACAAATCCATGTGCTCGCTAGGTGACCATGGCCTACGTCACTGTCTCTGGGAACTTAGTGAGATCATAAGTTTTCTCCTTTTCTTTTTAGAAAAACTCAAGTTACTCAGTTAATCCACAAAATTCTCTTACAGGGATACGTACACACGTAAAATTGGAAGAAATGTATGTGTACAAATACAGGCACAGTGAGTTTCTCAAGGTATGAACTCCTGAACTGCACTGTGCTGAGGAACAGAGACTCGTCATGAAAACCCAATGTGCCTCCCCACCACTCCGTAAGGAGGCGGAATCAGGAATGCGGGCGCCTGGCAGGAACCGTCATTCCCAACGATCACCTCCTCCTAGAATGACTACAGTTAAGAGCTTATGACAGTACCACCCTCTCGGGGATCTCCTTGACCCTCGGGAAGACTACAGAACCATCCCACCTTGTGTCTCTTCGTGCCGTACCCTCGTTCTGCTGTGCTCGGTGGCATTAAAGTTCTGAGCGTCTGTCTCCTAATTTAAAGTCACAGAGTCCGTGTCTTGACACCGGCTGCCGCAAGAACGATGCGTACAGCTCTGTGGGTATTTGCGCACCAATTCACATTAGTCTACATTTGACCTGACTTCTTAGCGGATTGTAGGCTTTTTGGTCTCCGAATGACATAAATACCTGCAGGGGACATCACATAAGATGCGATCGTAGAAGAGAATCTCCTTCCTCCCGTCCACATCTATTTTGAGTCTAGGTATGCTGGACGCATCGTGGTTGACCACCATGATGCAGGGGCTGCTCAGCCTTTTGGCCTGATGAACAAGCAGATAGCAACGCTTGTTGTCCACGTCGTTCGCGATGACGAACCCCTCTGAGAACATAAAATTATAGCGTCAGGTGAAACACAGCAAAAGCAGAATAATTTTCTGAAACACGTAAGCTCCTGGTTGGCAGGTGAGAAGCAGGAATCCAGCAAACGTAAGATCCAAGCATCAGATTAGCCAGAATAAGCGGAGCAGTCCAAAAACACGGCTCAGCACAGATTTTTATGATCCCATAAAATTCTAAAACTACAAGACTTATTTTTTCAATAACTGAATTATTCACTTTGTAACAATTACTAGGACAAAAACATCTTTTCTATTAGTAACAAAACGGAGACTGAGGGGGGGAAAAAGAAAGGGGTAGAAAACAACAGCATCCCCTGACAAGTGTTTAAACTACGGCACATACAGGCTGGGCCTCCATTCTCGACTCTGTGAGTCGCGTTTCTGGGCTGGGGCCCAGGCTCCTTCTGAAGGCCGCCTGGAAGATGCTGGTCTCACCTCTGGCTAAGACCTGGGTGCCACCCCATCTCGCTCCTGGTTCTAGCACCGGCAAAAAGGATCATATGGCCTAAAAACATTTTACAGTCAAGACTGCTCTTTAAAAAACATGAAATGCAAAACAATGAAAATAAAAAGAGGCTCTTTACCACTGATTTGGGAAAAATAATTAAAAATAGAAAATAAAGAAGGCTTTTAAACAAAGTTATTTGTCACAAAAAAAAAAAAAAACCCAAAACCCAACTTAGAACTAAGCTACTAGCACGCCCATTAGAACAGAAGGAGAGCAGGTGGCTTGAATGGAGGAAGGGGGAACAGACGCAGGTAAAACATTCGAAGAGTAAGACCCCCCACAGACAGGCATTTCAGAGAACCCCCAGAAAGGAGCACCGGCGACACTTGGATCACTGCCATGGCCTGAGCCCTCTGCAGGCTCAGAACACCCGTTTAAGTCCAGGACTGGTGCCCATTTCATAGGTGACGCCCAATACTGCCGCCCACCGCGGCGGGATGTGAAGCCGGCAGGCCTGCCAGCAGCTCTTCAGGACGCTCTACTGCCTCTCGCGTGGGCTGAGAGTCACCACGGAACCAACCAACACAGAAACCCAGCCTGACAATGTACTACTGAAGATTCAAACTGAAGTCTATGTACTCTGGCTTAATAAACACCACCGGCTTTCACAGAAGACCCACATAATTCTAAAATGAAGCCACCCTCCCGCCGCGACGTACAAACACCTTGGTTTGGGAACTAGTCACAGTGGCGTGCTAAATGCCCAGTCCTGCTCTCAGGGGCAGAAACCCAAGCGCCTGCCGCAGAAGGCTTCGAGATCCAGCCCATGGGCAGTGTGACACCACCTCTTTGCCATCTACACCCAGACAAGTGGCATTCTGGCCTTCCACAGAGCAGTCCAACGCATACCTGGGAAAGGGACATTCATGTCGGCATGTAACATTTCAATTAATTGTGTGGTCTTTGATCCAGGCGCTGCACACATATCTAAGATCTATTAAAAAGCAAGAAATGTTTGATGTTTTAAGAAATCATTCAACATTTAATTTAAAACAATTTTATGAGTCATTCTTGTATTTCGTTCTGCACACTTAAACACATTTCTTTACAGAAGGACTCTACAACATGATAGATTTAACTTCTGGGAGCTCAGGAGAAAAACTCTCCACAAGAACAGACTGACCCAAAGGCCAGGGGAAGCCCGCAGTTCAGGGGAGGACGAGCAAGGGCACTGCCAGCAGCAGCAACGTAAGCAGCCTGCTCCCAGGCCTCGAACAGCCACTTGCTGGCCCCAAACCCTGAGCTAGCTGCTTCTCGTCTTCTTTGCCTCCTTTCCCTCATCTGGAAAACCAGGGACAGGGACAGCATCTGCCCTCACGCGCTTGTGTGGATAACCAAATGCATTAACGCACGAGAAGAGCACAAAGTGATGCTTGGCATGTAACAAGTTCTCAGGACGTGCTCATCGTGATTTTCAATCTATCTGAGCCAGTCAAGACCACTGAGGATAGTCTGTGCAGTAAACACATTAGTGAGCAAACTTGAGAAGAAACCCAGTTACAGGCTGTAAAACTTAAATAAAACAAAAATTCAAAAAACAGAACCTAAAATAAAACAGAGCATTCTCAAAAATAAATAAATATACAAATACTAAAAAAAACAGCATTCTTTATCAAAGGCATGAAAAAAAAAACACACACAAAACCCTAAGAATAATATTAAGAAAAAAGGTGTCAACAAACAAAGCCACTCCCAGTTTAATACACAATACCTTATGGTGAGGATGAGCGTTGAGTAACAGCGGTGGAATCATGCTAACGGCTTCTTGACGACTGATATTTCCCTTAGAAAGTAAAATTTTAAAAAAAATCAGGAACAATATTTAAAAAGGCAGAAATTTTCAATATTGGGCATTATTTCATACACAACAGAAAAAGACCGCATAATCCTCACACAAAACAGTTAATACTCACATAAAACAGTTAATACTATCACACAAGACCTACGTAAATACGACAGGCTTTTATACTAGCGGGTAAATGGTTGCCACCTAAAAGGCTAAAGAAGAATGACCATTCACGGCAAAACTCACGGTCAGACATGAGGAACCCAGGTATAATCCTGGATGTTCTGGAAGAAAGGGCAGTGTGAGCTTACGCCGCCCCACCCGCCCTGAGACAGAACGGAAGCTGGGGCAGCTGCTCTCGGGGCGACACGGCCCCTGCGGGACCCTGGGCGGCAGGGAGCGACGGCCACGAGCGCAGGACAGAAAGCCGCTGCCCGCAAGGCCTCCCCGCTCGGCCGAACTGAAACTTCTATTTCAGTCCTCGTCTGTCTGTAGAAGAGCCCAGCCTGCTTTCTCCTCCCGAGAACTGCCCGTCGCCAGACGAAGACCCCGGCCACGGCCCCCACGTGTCCGCAGCCCCGCGCAGCCAGCCGCGCTCGGCTCTGCCGACACACACGCCGGCGCACACACGGCGCCCCGGACCGGCTCCCGCGCGCGCCCCACCACGGCTCGAGCTCCACAGCCGGAAGACCGCACGCCTGAGAAACACTCGGCAGTGGAAGAGCTAGAGGCCGCCAGCCGCGGAGACTCTGCCGCGCGGCCGCCTGCTCGTCTGAACCCGACCGGCCCGCAGCCGCCGCTCCGCGCACACCCGCGCCCGTGGGAACCCGACGGAGCCCCAGGCGAGCCGGCGCATGCGCAGCTCACCGGCTCATGCGCAGCTCACCGGCTCCGGCGGCGGCGAGGAGTCTGCGGAGACCGGCCGTGGAGACCGGCTGAATCCGCACCCACTCCCCAGGCACGCTGAGCCCGAGCTCCAGGTTACGCGTATCATCCCGAAAAGCCCGCCTCCCGCAATCACCCAAGTGTTTGACCAAAGCCTCCGAGCTGCTCGGGGCCGGGGGTCCCTGACCCGACAAGCGGGCGGCAGTCGCTTCCTTCACACGCACGTGCCCGAGGGGCCTCGCAGCCAACACTCCGCTTCCCGCACCGCGCACGGCACCTCCCCTGCCGACGCCCATCGCGAACCCGCGCGAGGCCCCGCAGCGCGGGCCACCGACGCTCACGCCCGGCTCCTCCACCGAAACCCGGCTCGCCCAGCCGCCCAGCAACGCCGGACTCGCTCCCGCAGACCCTCTGCTCTGCTGAAGGTCAAACCTCACCGCTCTCAGTCCACCCTCCCCGACCTCCGCCGGACGGAAAGCAGCGCCCGGGAGCCCCTTCTCGTCCTGACGCCCAGACAATGAGGAGCGGGGCAGCAGCCGGCTCGCTTCTCCCTTGCTGGGGGGGGGGGGGGAGCCGGCCGGGAGGAGGCCATTTACCGGGTCACCTAAAGGGACAGAGCGCCCCCATGGCAGGAGAGAACGGGGCAGGGCTGAGGGTCTCGAGGGGAGACGCCCTGGAACGGCAGGTATCCTGTAAGCCCGCCCGGGGGCTCAGGATGACAAGACGCCACCGCCATCTGGGCGAACACAAAGGTGTCCTTGGCTAGAAAAGGAGACTAGAGAACAGGAAAGGGGAACTTGGATTTTAAATACGAGTGACAATTCCAAAAAAAAACCCAAAAGTTCACCAGTGAAATCCGTGGGCACCTGGTTTCACCCAGTGGGGCAGGAGGAACAGCGCTGAGAGGAGGAGCCAGGGGAAAGCTAAGCAGCTCAGGGACGGAACCGAACTGGGGAACTCGGGATGGCGAAAAGACAGGATGAAGACACAGGGTCGTGCAGAACCAAAGCTGTCAGATTCAGGTTTTGCTGTTTTTGGGTGGCAAAGGTGGACTAGAAGGAGCCCAGAAAAAACGGGCTGAAGCACAAGAAGGCGGGAGTCGCCACGTGAGGTCTCATTGCGCAGTGCGCGGCTCTCCCCAGCACCCTGGCCAGCCAGACCCACGAGGGGCAAAGAAATGACACATCCAGGGGACAACTGTGGCTGAGATCCTCCCCGAATTCCACACCTGGACAGGACGTGCCAAAGAAGAGGGCAGCTGTGGGAGTCCTCAGAAATTAAAGGGGATAGACACACTTCTCCGTATGTATGCCGTCTCTACCGGGTCGCTGACGGGTGTGGACAAAATACAACCAAGATACTAATGCGCATTTCAGGCTTCAAGGGAAGCAACAAATCCAAAGAAATCTACTCACAGATTCGGTTTCGCTAACCAGAAACTGGTGAAACTTTTCCAACTGTGGAGACTTTCTCAAGATTTTTCGACTTAAATTTGTGTGCCAGGCAAGTTCTTCAGGATACCTGACCAAAAAGAAAATAAAGCATCCACGGATTATATATATTAAAGTGCCCTCTTAACAACTTCCTCCTTTTACAGACCATACACCAATGAGACATCCAATTTTCCTCTACTTGCTCACATCCACGACCCTCTTCACCCACCCGGCCAACACTGTGGGATGTCTAACTGTATCACAGCCCAGGTAGAAACAGGAGAGCCACACAGCTTGAAGAGATATACTTATGATGCTACCACGAAACTACAATGATGAGTGTTGAAGACTAGATGAGAAAATGGGGACTCAGGTGCTCTTCCCCATGTGTGCTAACGATGGGACAGAGACCATCAGAAAAAGTCACTTAAGCATCTGACTCTTGATTTCAGGCCCAGTCACAGGCTCAGGATCCCGGGATCAAGCCCCAAGCTGGGCTCTGCACTCAGAGGGCAGTCTGCTTGAGGTTCTCCCTCTCCCTCCACCCTTCCCCACATTCTCTCTCAAATAAATTAAAAAAAAAAAGAAAAAGACATAACAAATTAAAAAAATGTAGATCAATCAAAATAACACACCTGAAGAGCTGTCAAAACGTCTGACATTTAACTGCAATCTTAACGAAATTTTTCACTATGTCTAAAACAAACAGCCCGATAATGTACCGAAATACATTACACACCAAAACCCCTGGGATCACAGCGGCATTGGCCTGCGTGCCTAGGCTGTTACTTATACACACCTAAGAATGAAGAAGCGTCTCCTGCCATTTCTGTATTTAAGCTTTCTAGAACGATGACATCACTGATGAGGAAACAGGTCTCTTTAAACGTGGCTCACACGGATCCCTGAGCTCCAACGGCTCCAGTCGGCACACTGCTACAACACAGAGCCACACTCAAACCCAGCCCAGCGCCAAGGGATGCACTGCTTGGTACTCAGTGTTAAGTCTCACTGCAGACTTAGGACGTGTTCCTCAGTATCTCCAAGCATCAGACTGCAGCTAAGGTGACAGCCACGAAAATGAACCCATAACTGTTGCAGGATACCCATGACTGCTTTGAAAGGGTGATTAGTTGAAACAAACTCAGGTCTTGAGATTTCAAGACAGCACTTTACTATGATGCTATTACGAGATATATCTGGGAAGTACTTTCTACCAAAAATATGAAGCTGGTTGATCTGTTCACAGCCGCCCTCCAGCTGTCCCCACACCGTCTCTACTCCCTATGCCCAGTGCCGCCTTCAGTATTTAACCTGATTCAAAAATCTAAATCAAAACACAACCATACTTACAAGGCCATTAAAAAAGAGTTTAGTCTCAAATATTTCCTTTGGCCTCCTTAAAGCTAAAACAGAACACACTCGGATTTGCCTTCATCTGCAATATTTGGCAAAATCTGCTGTTTCAGTGCGAGCCCTGCAAGACTGGGGAGCCAAACACCTACTTTTTGAAATTTCTTGCAAACCTGAACTGTGTGTGATCAATGACTTTTACAAAACTCCTTCTAACCCTGAACTGTATGTGATCAATGACAGTGAATTATGCCAAGTTACCACCTCGCCAAATCACCAAAACATCATGAAGCTGAACGCCTCAGGCATGCAATCAACCATGAACTGCTCAACTGAGCTCTCAAACGTTAAGAGCTGAGTTTTCATTTTCAAATAAAGATAAGCAGCCTAGATATAATCTGAGCAAATACTTCCTTATGCACCTTTCAGACTGAATTTCCATTTAAAAAATATAAATTTACTAGGATGGAAATTCCATGGCAAGTAATTAAGACTGTGAAAGCTATTAACCTTTTGAAAAAAATACTTAACTTTCAAATCATTAAATATAAAAACTGACAGTTAAAATGAAAAAGTGGGATGCCTGGGTGGCTCAGTCAATTAGGTGTCTGCCTTTAGCTTGGGTCATGATCCCCGGGTCTTGGGATCAAGTCCCGCATCTGGCTCCCTGCTCAGCGGGGAGTCCACTTCTTCCTCACCCTGCTGCTCCCCCCGCTTGTACTCCCGCTCATTCGCTCTCTCTCTGATAAACAGTAAAATAAAATAAAATAAAAAATAGGGGCGCCTGGGGGCTCAGTGGGTTAAAGCCTCTGCCTTCAGCTCAGGTCATGATCCCAAGGTTATGGGATCAAGCCCTGCAGCAGGCTCTCTACTCAGCAGGGAGCCTGCTTCCCCCTCTCTCTCTCTGCCTGCCTCTCTGCCTACTTGTGATCTCTATCTGTCAAATAAATAAAATAAAATGAAAAAGTATAAGTCTTCTACAGCTTAGGAACCATTTTTTTCAGTGGAGACAACAAATGTTTATTAAAATTTTTGTAGCTTTTAATATCAAATAAATTATCTTGAAGAACTAAATTTAATTTTTATTTGTGTAATTTGAATGTAGCTCTTGGGTCTTTAAAGTCCTACTTGGAAACCTGTCGTGTTTTCTGAGGATGAATTAAAAGCACCACTGTCATCTTTATACCTCAAAAATTCTTACAGGAAAAAAACACATGAATACTCATTTATGATAAGTCGTCTTCAATCCACGTGTTAAAAAGAACATCAACAGAATGACAATAAAAGTACACTCTCCACAACCAAGTGTCAAAATGAGGCTTTTATAAGAATGCTTTGGGATAACGCCTTACAGTTCTGAGCCTACAAAAAGGAAAAAAATAAAAATAAAACTGCCCAAGCCATGAGTCCTACACTTAATATTCCTTCTATAAAACATGAGTCCCAAAAACACTTCCCTAAATTTAATTCCACTATGTACCAAAAGGTTAAGAATATTACACAATTTATCTCTGTTTTTTGAACAATACAGAAAACCACCCCAAGCTTTGGGAAGTTTCTGCTCTGCTTGCTTCTGAAGAGACTTACGGGTAGCCCATACCTGACCCGCAAATTGGACTGAATGCTGGTACAATAAAATCTGTTAGGCAACTGTCCCTGATAATGGAAAAACCAAGTGTTAGGAACCCAAATCACACAGTATGTTGTTCACACCCTTCAGCTGTGCTCAGAAAGTTCCAGCAAACAGCAATGTGAGAATCACCAGTAGTTACTAGAGCCTGACTCCTATTCCTTCTACAACCAGACAACCTGCAGGGCCTTTCTCAGATGTTGGAGAATTGCCTATTCATGGATCCCTTGCCACTGTTATCAAGATGGAAAAGCACCTGTTAAATGTTATAAGGTCTAACAGAAGTTTAAGTGCAGTTTGCAAAGAACAAGAAATTCTCATGTATCTGTTGGAACCTGCAGAAAAAAATGCCCACAATGACCCACCCAGAGGCACTTCTTTCCTACAGGATGCAAGCTTTTCAGCTCTCTACTGGCCTGTCAGACTTCCTCACCTGAAAACCTGCATTTCTAAACACAAGGTTTAAGGAACAAAGTCTTCTGGTGATTATGCAGCAGCCGGCATGCAAGACAGTTTGAAATGTGCACAAAGGTGACCTTAAGCCCACTTCTTTTGAAAGTATCAGACGGCCCCTGCTTCAAACACCAGTACCACCAGTCAAATCTCCAAACCACCGGTTAAGTGGCAACTGCGAGAAGAGAGGAAGCTTGATGATGCGAAGGCTCGCTCGCTCAGCGCTGTCAGAGGTACAGCAGCGAGAAAAACATTTCCATTCTTAGTGACCTCCATACAGTGGGCGTGCGATCGGTAACCACCTGAGTGCCCTCCCTCCATCAGAATGTGCAGCTTTGACAATCTGACTAAAATGTCTGATAAACCATTGTGCAATTTTGGGGGGCTGAAAATTGTGGATTTATTCTTGTATCCCAGAAATGTGTTTTACTATGGTGACGTCTGCTCTTGAGCTCAGCTGAACACTGACTTTAGCATTTGGCCATTCAGCCTCTACTCAGAATGGGTATGCTGTGTAGCTCTGTGATGGGGCCGCTGAAAATCCAAATGACTGATGGTAGAAAGAAAAGCAAAGCTATAACTCATGATTAATGAAAAACCTGACCTTGGTTTGTGACCACCAAAGGGCATCTGGAAAGGAAAGAGAGTATCATACACGTGAATAACCAAAATCTCAAAAGAGTTTTCAGAAAGTGCTGGTTAAATTCACCTTTTTATAGTGATCATTTAAAATCCTTGTGTTGTGAGAACTCTCAGTGCCTCAGAGTTGATCATCTGAAATGTGGAACTGTAACAGTTCACTTTAATGATTTTTAAGTTTATAAATTAACCCAGGGCTTGGGGCCTCTATAGTTTGTGTTTGAGTAGTCCAGGTGTTTTACAGGACATGTGGGACTGCCCTCACTGGAATGAAACTTGAACTGACTCCTGAGAAGCAAATAACCCACAGGATGCCTCCAGGACAAGCAGTGAAAGGGTTAGCATGTGGGCCAAGAGTCTACTCGAGCACGGGGGACACTGGGAACACAGAATCAGGGGCACCTGGGTGGCTGGGTTAAGTGTAACTCTTGATTATGGCTCGGGTCATGATCTTGGGTTGTGAGACTGAGGCTTGAGTAGGGCTCCCTGCTCAGTGCAGACTCTGCTTGAGCTTCTTTCCCCCTCCCTCTTCTTCCCCCTCTCCTCTTGTGCTCTTTCTTTCTAAAATAAACAAAATCTTAAAAAAGAAAATACAGAATCCGTTGGAGCAGTATGCAGGCACATTAAACAGGCACAGTCAAATGCTCAACAAAGGTTTTCCGGATCCTGTATTCCTGACTCTTCAAGATTATTCCAGTGAACAAAATTGTTGTCAGGCTGCTAGCGTTTTGCTGGTTTTGGTTTTTTGTTTTTGTATTTTGTAACGTTGTCAAGCATTGATGTAATTTGAATGTCAGTAGAATTTTCATGTCTGTGTACATTTCTTCATAAATATGCTAGAACCTGTGTCTCTCTGTTTCTCTAGTGGCCAAAAGCAAGCTCTGCAGTCAGACTGCTAGGTGGCATCCCAGCCACGTCACTAAGGACATGGGGTCAGTTCCTGAGCTGCTGTGCAGCATGTTTCCACAGCAGTGGGATGGGTACCGTGGTGGCGCCAGCCCACAGGATAGCGTGCATTTAAAAAAAGACAGTTGCAGGGAGGCCTGGGTGGCTCAGTCTGTTAAGCATGGGGCATGATCGCGGGGGATGGAGTCCTGCCTCAGACTCCTTGCTCAGCAGAGTTTGCTTGTCCCTCTGCCTGCTCTGCCTGCGTCTCTCTCTCTCTCTCTCTCTCTCTCTGACAAATAAAATCTTGAAAAAAAAATAAAGATAACTCCATAAAATGCTTGCACAGGGCTGGCAAATCCAAATGTTCGGGAGATGATGACCAAGACCATTCTAGGTCACTGTGCAGGGGGGCACAGCCACGTATGTGCCCCGAAGGTAGTTAACACACTGCTGACGGTCTCAAGTGCCAGTAAGAAACTTCTTACAGGTGACATTGGAAATGTGTAACGGGAACAGTCCGCTGAGCTTGGAAAGCCTGAGTTTAGCCTTTTAACTTAAAACATTCTGTTTCATTGTTTCCACTCACTGTGGGGAATTCACTGGTGAATACAGCACCCCCTGGGCCAGAGTCCCCTGGAGAGTGCCAGAATTTGACCCTTCACATTGGGGAGGCCTCTGAGACTCAGAATTCAGGTGTTTTACCCAAGGCTATTCAATGGGGTGGTTGGGACTAAACCCCTGATTCCAAGAGCAGAGGCTTTAGAAACATACTCCAGAGGATTGGCTAGGTCAGGTGTAGCTTTTCAACCTGCTGGGCTATTCTGTTTCAGGTTGTACTTGTGACCACACACATAGCCTATATGGTTTTGGGACTCAACATTTTCCATATAGA